TTACACTTATATATATTTATTTAGAGTTACTGTACATAACAAAGTATGTATGGTAAGTCCAGATTACTACTTAAATGTCACTTGCAATCAGCTATGTAGTCAAATATTTTTCTGCAGACCAGTAATTTTCTAGTAGACTGACAGTTGAGAAACATTGATATAGACAGTTGACAGACTTGGGAGGTTTAAGTCTAGATTGAATTTTTAAGAATTTTCATGGATGGTATCTTCTGAATATGTTTGGGTAGTGAGGAATGGATTCTAACCTTTCCGTTGTAATCCTAATGAAATTTGTGATGGCAATGAAAAAGCCTTTTTAGTGCCCACAGGACGGAGAATTAAAAAGTATAAAAAAAAACTGCCTAATGTAGTAATTTATTCAGTTTGAGCAAATAATAAGATATCATTTTCATATTAATGAATTAAGATAAATTATTAATGTCATTTATAAATATCAGATAGCCATCATATAAGAAAATTTATGTAAATTATTGTTTAGGATTGAATATTGATGTGGGAATTACTTTCTTACAGGTTAATTGAGAAGAGCACAAATTGCAATGAATTATATAGTAGATTTTAGAAATATTAACATATGACATGCATAATTTGTTAAAAAAATTTTTAATTTGGTGCCACTATCAATAATTGATAAACAAATTAACTATATGTTAATATTAGAGGGATAAATCCTAAAAATTAGATTCATTTTAGAATGGAAATGAACAAAATGACAAAAAATAAAAGCATTATTCTACAGTTTTCATTTAGGATATTTTTGATGTTTGATAAAATAGTAATTTGAAAAAGTTTGTCAACAAGTAGACATAAAATACAAATAAAACAAATAGAATACAAATATAATTTTGACATTCTGATGAATATCAAAGAATTCTTAAGTTCATTTTCTGTTGAATTGAATTTTTTAATGCCTGATAATAATTTTATTATTTATATGATTACTTGATAACAACAGTAATTTATGACTATTCTAATGCAACTGCAAGAATTTGTTTGGAATAAAAATACAATATTATAATAATTTTAGTCTGTTAATGGATTTTATATGTGCTTTATTTTTTAAATATTATTTATTTTAAAGAATAAATAATAATAATAATTAAAAGATTAATAAGAAAAAAAATAATAATTGGCTATTAATCTCCATTCATTCTATTTTAAGTCAACCAATCATCTTATCATACACTGATCAAGATAAAATCATTATTTACATTATTATACAGTGAACCACTAAGTTTATATAAACAATATTTTTATTTTTTCTCAAACTTTTCTTATTTATTTTATAGAATAAATCTTTATATATTATTAATAGAATGACAAGAATTAGCTTCATTCATCTTCCAAAACGTTTCTGTCTTTTGATATTAAAGCATGCGACTATTATCAGAAAGTTTACTCTACTTTTGAAATAATCTATACTCTATAGTAATATTATAAAGAGGTAAAGTTTGTAAGTTTGGATGTAGGAGGTAATCTCCAAAAGTACTCATCCAATTTCAAAAATTCTCTCACCAGTATTTGGAATGGACCTTCAGGGTGGATATAGGCTGTATATTATTCCATTAAACATTCATATAAATTAAAAGATATCATCTAGGTAAGCATTATATTTTTGGTGTCAGTGGGTGGCGAAGAGTAAGACACGTACATATACGAGATAGGTAACTGCACAGTGCAGTCGCATGGTCAGCAAGATATGCAGGGCACGTGTCCGAACTTGTGTCCAATAATAATAAATGCATAGCCCAGATGGTTAGGAGTTGAAAGTTGAAATTTGGTACACAGTTAGGGTACGTCACACTAAGAAGGGATTTTTCGAAATTCCCCATGGGGGAGAGAGAGAGGATTAAGGCTTACTGTGAAGAACTCGGTTTCTATTATACTATTTTAGATGACTTTTTTGCATTTATGCTGGATATCAAACATATTTTTAAACACTTCAAAAAATTCTAATGATATTTAGTGTTCCGTCGTATATAAAGTTGATACGGGGAGCACATGCGCATAAGTTGTCTTCATTTGAACTCTTGGTCTTAATGTTTGAATTTATATTTATAAATGATTCAGGAAGATCAAGCTTATTTTTTGAATTTAGTAAACCCGAAGAACAATCCAGAAGGGATTATGAAAACGTTTGTTATTCATCACTTAGTGGTACCACGCACAGGTTAGTGGTTGCAGAATTATCATTATCCCAGTGTGATAAGCAGATATCTAAAAATTCTCTAATTAGGAAGAGAGGGAAACTAATTCTTGCACTTGGTGAAAACAAGTAAGATCAGCTATAATCTAATAATCTTAATCTTCGCTATCATTACTTTTTGTCTGAGAAATGCCAGGCTCATCTGCTAGTATGATATAAAGAGTTTATAATTGGCATTTCTAAATGTTTGTATTTAAATATTTGTTCCACTTGAATGAATGTTAAATGATGGATGTCAATTGTTATCCTTGTTAATTTTTTTAAAATTGCTTTTAATAGACTGAAAGAAAATAGTTTTTAATTTTTCCAATTAAATAGGTAATTGAATTTAATGGAAGTTAAGAAACTTTCATTAAATTTTTGTCATTTATCAAATTAATAATCTGAGACTGAAAATTCACTGTCTTATGTGAAAAGAATAACAATAATATTTAATCCAGCAATTAATTGTAATTAAATAAGAATCTCTGGTTGTATTTATTTACAAATGTAAAATTTTACTTTATAATTGCTCATTTTGTTTTTGTTCTTCAGTTCAATCCTAAAGAAGGTCAATAAATCTAACTGAAACACATTTGTTACTTAATGTATTTGCTGTATGTAAGATGCACTTCACTTTCCGAAAAAACAAAAGTAAATTTCTAATATACTTTATTGAAAAATAAAGTACTGTAATTTTCATACAGTTGGTATGTAAATGTATTTAGGTACAAAAACAGTATTCAAGTATAAACAACAACAACAACATTGCAATAGCTATATATTTCTTAAGTAAAAATATTATGTATATATATATATATATATATTTGCTGGCATATACAATACAGATAACCTATAAGACAGTATTTTTTCGGAAAAAAGTACGTCTTATATGACAACAAATGCAGTAATTATAATTAATTGCTGCATTAAAGATTGTTTATTCTATTCTAGTTATCCAGTTTTAGTCTTCAGCAGTTCTGCTTAAAAAAATATAAAGATTTTTTGAGTAATTTAATTGTTTAATTCCAAAGAGTTTATAAAACATTTCGGTAATTAAAAAAACAGACTTATTTTAAAAACAAAAGCTGATTCATTAGTTAAAATTCATAATATTTGATTTTTCTTTTGATATCAAATTACTTGTTAAACTTTTTTTTTCCGTACTCTTGTAACAGGCTAAGCTACTTAACTGTAAAAATCTGACCTTAGGTTATGTTTAATTAGAACATTGCCAAAGAATGCACTTCAATTGTTGTTCTTGTTAATTTATTAAAATGCATTTAAGTATCCAAAAGAAAACAGTTTTGAAAATTTCCAATTAATTTTCAAGATTGTTGTTTGAGTTAATTATTTAAAAAGAATTTGCATGTTTATGCAGATTATTCTCATTTTATTTCTTGCATTTCAGATTGAAGAATTTAAAAAAATGGTAATAAAAATTGAAGATTTTTTTTGTAATTAAATCTCTTATTTTGGAAACTGACAAATATGTGATTTGACTATCTTCATTAATATAAAACACTTAATAAATTAGACTTTTTTGAAATTAATTTAATGTAAATTTAGAAATATTAATCCAAATATCTAATTACTGGATTTATCATGCTACATTGGTGCTATTAATTTAATTAATTATGTAATTTAACTAAAAGTAAGTTTAGAAATATTTATATAATTGAAATTTGGATACTGTGTTATGAGGGTTGTTTGAAAGTATTGATAGTGAGCCTACCTGTGAAGGTGTTGTCCCAGGCAAATGATATTAACACTTCTCAAAGAATGTGATGAACTTCTCCCAGCAGTGCTCCAGTTTTGTGAACTCTTGGTACAAAAAAGATTTATTTTGGTTCTCACACCATCCGTGGACAGTGCTGACACAGTTGAACACTGTCCTTTCACATGTCATTTTAGTGTTGGGAACAAGTGGAAAAAAAAACAAAAAACAGGCAACGAATGACTGAATGATTGATTGTTTTCACCCATGGAAGTCTCCATCTTGACTGACAGTATACCTTTTTTCTACCACTGTTTGAGAGGATGGCCAGAGGCAGGAATTACATATCTGAGAATTGTGTTTCAAAATGCTATAAACTTTGTTCTGTTTTGACAACTCCTTCATAGATTTTCAAATAATTGCTGTATGTAAAATGACATATACCAGAATTTAAATATAGTATCCAATAGATATATTTTGACATATTTATTTAATAAAGATAAAATATCAAATTTATTGTCATATAAATTCTTGATTGATACCCAATGTACAGTACAGAGTGATTGCAAAGCTCCTATGCATGAAATTGGATGTAAATTTAATACAGTGTGATTGAGACTAAAAAATATATTACAATTTGCTTTAGTGCAATATGAAAGAGAAAATTTGTTTCCACTTTATAAGAGTTGAAGACTTAACAATAATTATCAGAGGCTGTTTTAATCAGTTTTAAGCATCAAAATGGAGGATGATGTCCAGAAAAAACATGAGAAAAATTTAAAATTTATACAGAGAATGGAAGAAAATGTACAGATAACTTTTAACTAGATGAATTAGGATTTTGTGAGCACTTTGTACTAAAATTTAAAACATAATAGCTTATTTCAGAAACATTCTCAAAATTTTTCTTCTGCTTTGTGTAATTAGATTAAACTTATTTATTTTTTATTTTAAATAATAAAAAATTGCATTTTTGATAATTTTTAAAAATTTAATTATATTTAATTCAGTTTATAATTTATTTAAAACGATGAATTTTTATATCATTTTAATATTTTTGTTTTAAATTTTTTTTAGTGAGTAAAATGTTAAATGTAGAGCAATGTAGTCCTGTTCTGATATCATCACCATCTGCAACTGTGACATATCATAAAAGAGCATCTAGTGTGCCATTAATTGAATTGAGGTAAATATTTTTGTCTGATAAATCTGAGTTTTAATATATACCTGTAATTATATAAAAGGAAAATTTTAAAATAGTTATTTTAATTCTTACAAATTTTATTCATAATGACTCATGCTTGTCATACAATATACCAAAAGTTCTCATACTTAATAAATAACATAACATATAATATACTCAAATTGAAATTTATATTTGCATTATGTCATAAAGAAACACAGAAATGATCAGAATATTTAGTTATTTAATTTATTTAATGTTTGTTAATTTTGCTTAATTTAAATGTGGTCAAATGATTACATTATCTTTGAATCTTATTGAAGCAGAATGTAATTAAAAACAAGAAAAAAAAACAAGCCTGAAAAAACTGGACTTAGCAAACAGGATGACAAAATCTGACAGTTTCTTTAATTAATTTTAATTACAAACAATGTTTAAAGAATATATGAGTAATCTATTACCTTAATACAAAAGGAAAGTATGATAGCTTGCCTAGTAACTACTTTAATTGATAAATTGTTTTTCCCCCCAACTCTCTGCCCAGATCATCATCTTATAATCCAAATAGTCTAATTTTCAAACACTTGAACAGGTCAGTTATAATATAGGTTTTTTGAAAAATATTTGAATTCAATTTTTTGGGAGAAGTAAGGTCAGAATTAATTTAAACACAAAATTTATGCACATAAAACAATAAAATAAATTTTTGTTTAGGGTATAAAATAAAGGTTAAAACTTAAAAAAAATTTGCTGAACATCATCTGTTAAAATACTATTACATACTGTTAAATAATACTATTAAAAAATTATTAATAAATAATACTTGCTGTTGCATTATGTCATTAATATTTTAATTTTTAACATGCCAGTTTATTTGGTTCAGTTAATCTATTTTTAACATTATGAGGAAATGTTAAGCCTTTGATTCAGTGTACAGTACAAAATAAAGTTTACATAAAATGAGTTTTATGCAATTTATTTTATGCAAGACACACTTTTATATGAAATATAAATAATTGTTCTTAAATATAAAATTTAAATGCATTTAAATATTTTATTTCTGTCGCAAAAAATTACTCAATGCACTGAACCATTTTGATGATTTAATTAGATTATTTTTTCATAATTAAATTGGTTTTGTTTTATGATTCCTCTTGATACAGTTAAAAAAATCAACTAATGCACTTCAGTCAATAAAAAATTTTATTATAGGAATGAAAGCTCCAATTATAAGAGAACAGTTAAATGGCTATCCTGACAGCATGACTGTCTCTAAAGTTAACCTAATGGTTGCAAGTGAGTTGATGTTTAAGAATATAGGTATTGGAGTATTTGTAAGAGCAACTCTTGAAGTAATCTGTTAGGAATGGAAAATTTTTGCAAAAATTATATATAATGTTATAGTTTCTCAAAAATGTTTGTTGTTGCTCAAAGTAAGAGATGTTTTTAAATTTATGTTGATAATTTTCCTGGTGTAGAATACAAAGTAAAATAGCAGTTTCAAAAGCCAATGTAATATTTAAAAATTTTAGTCGTCTTATTATATTTTTATTTCACATTTTAATAGATTGTTTAAGTTAGTTAAATTAAAAACATTTCCAAATTAAAAAAAAAACTTTTTTGATGATTTTGGTAGTTACTTTTTTGGCTTTATATGAAATATTTTTGTTGCATGCTTGTATTCTTATAGGTTACAATCTTAATATTTCTGCGGATATATTTGTTTATTTGGAATTTTTATCAATTACTAGCTTACCTGTCGCGCATTACTGCGATCTCAGAAGAAANACAGAGATTTAGTAATGTTTCTTGTGTGCTTTTCTTTCTTCTAAACCTTGAATGATTGTCGCAAAGTTAATTATTATGTAATATAATATAGAAAATACAATAAAACCTTGTTTGTTTGAATTAATAATAATTCAAACAAACAAAAATTTATAAAATAACGTTAGATCCAGTGTAAAGCTTGATGTTTCTAACTTGCTTCTAGTAATTTTTGTGTTAAAACTAATTTTCTTTGCTTGTGCAGCCAATAGCCACATCCTAGTCTTTTTATTCTAGCTGACAAAGCCAAAATATTAAACGATACCACTATGTCAAAAACTCAAATAATTTAAAATGTATATTGTAAGTGGATCCCTTGAATAGAAAAATGAAACAATGTATTCACATAGAAACTTTTTAGTTAAATTAATGGAACAGGTAAGTGGAATGTGAAGTGAGAAGACTGAATCAGTAGCATTAAAATTCACTTGAGATAAGATTGAAATGATAAAAAGTTAGCAATAGAAAGGAGGAAAATGCTTATGTTTTAATAAAAATTATTAATAAATTATATGGAATTTTAATTAATTAACTATAATTGTCAATTGATAATTTTTTTTTATTTTGAGAGTTTAGAAAGTAAAAAGCTGTGTTTATAATATTAAAAGAATAAAAAGAATGAAATGTTTATAAAATTGCATTGTACAGAATATTTTGTTAATCTTTTAGGCACTCTGATGGTGATGATGATAGCTTGGATTCTGAAAATATTTCAATTAATGAAAGTACTGATTTGAATAATGAAACAGATTCTGCAAGTTTATGCTCAAGAGTAAGTATAATAAATTATTTTTTTAATTTTAATTTGTTTTATATGTACAGTGGAACCTTGCTTAATGAACATAATTCATTCCAGAATGTTACTTGTAAAGCAAAACAATTTTTCCCATATAAATTAATTTAAAATATGATAATGCATTCCATGCTGAAAAAAAATACTCAAATATTTTATGTATAGTGTTTATTCAAAGAAAATTATATAATATAAGAGCAACTCTTGAAGTAATCTGTTAGGAATGGAAAATTTTTGCAAAAATATATATAATGTTATAGTTTCTCAAAAATGTTTGTTGTTGCTCAAAGTAAGAGATGTTTTTAAATTTATGTTGATAATTTTCCTGGTGTAGAATACAAAGTAAAATAGCAGTTTCAAAAGCCAATGTAATATTTAAAAATTTTAGTCGTCTTATTATNACTCAAATATTTTATGTATAGTGTTTATTCAAAGAAAATTATATAATATACACTGTTAAGGAGTGTGAATCAGCATCATATTTTCTTTTAGCACGGAATGAATCAACCTGGAATGTGAATTCAATTTGTAGAAAACAAAAAAAAAAAAAATTGAAATACAGTACAGTAATTTAATATTTAATTATAGCCTTTACATAGCCCAAGAATTTGGAATATCATTTGGTATGTTTATTATATGGCTATTGTTGTTGATGTTTACATATAATATGTCTGAACACAAGTTTGGAAAATTGTGTGATCACAAGCGATACTAAGATGTTGGCGGAACAAGTGTTAAACACAGACTGATGGAGCATGCACACAATTTGGAACTTCCTTCTCCTTGTCACTTGTTATGTGAAACGTCACTCGTTAAGCGAGTCATTTTTTTACGATTTGCTTTACTCGTTATGAGAGGTGCTTGTTAAGCAAGGTTCCACTGTATTTGAATTGAAATCAATTTAATGAACTTTATAATTCATCGCATATATTTATTTATCTGGTAATATCATGCAGTTTTGTTTATATAAAAAGTTTTCAGTAACTATTTTAGCTGTATGGTATTAAGTTTCCTTCAGTTTTATTCCATATTTTTTTCTCACTAAATGCACAATAATTCCACATACCTTGCTTGATAAGAGGTGCTTGTGCAATTTTTTCCTATACATTCATTCGTTCATTTATTAAAGATATATAAGTACTGTACTTGTCGTAGTTTTGTGTAGCACTGCAAAGGTCTATTCTGTATATATAGGACAGTTGGTTTAGGCAGATGTTTTATAGACAAATGTCCTTCCTGATACCAATCCTCTGTATTTTATTTGGATTTTGGATTTGTCAGAGCTGTTGCATTCTGAATGGAATTTATAATAGTATGTGGACTGTGTTCAGCAGCACAGAGTTCTTTCTGAGTCTATTATGTTGTGATCTTTATTCTAACCAATTCATGGTTTCTCCCATTTCTAGAATTCTAAGTAGTTCAGTCAGTATACTTTTTGTATGCTAAGTTCCGATAGTGATGTCATTTTTTTCTGTCTTATCATTACCATCAGTACTGTTTGTTGGTAAAATGGCTGTATGTGCTGGTATAAATATATTTTGTTTTCATAATGGTAAAAAAATTAGTCACAGTGACTGAATAATTATTTTTATGTTATCTGCCTTTTTAAAGACAGAGTTGACTTGCTGAGTCAGGATACCATTCAAAGATACTTAGAACAATTCTTTGCTCCACCCTCTTAACCAATTAGATTTCTTGCATAGCATTCTGTGTAACTGAATATTTCTTTGGTCTTCCCTACATTCTCATACTGCTCAACTTCAATGATTTTGTAGAAAACAGTGCATTTAGCATAAGTCACCATTAACCTCTTTAATTTTATTCTATATTATTTCTCTTTTTTATTTTTTATTAATAGTTGATTATGTAAAATGTTAGTGAAATTATGAGTTAGGAAAATTGATACATCAAGACTATTCATATATAGATAATAACTGATTCAGGATAGGGTAAATTAAAGTAATTGTCAATTAAAATGAACCTGGATAAAGTTTAAATATATTAACTCTCACATAACATGAATAGAAAGAATGACAAAAATTTTTATAATTGATATAAAAACAAATACTGTAGAACCTCGATTATCCGGACTAATTGGGGATGAAGGTAGTCCGGATAAGGAAAAATCCGGATAATCGAAACAGATACTTTAATTTGTCTTTTAATGATAATACAACACATTTTCTTTTTGATGACATATCGGTAATATTAAAAGTAAATACTGTATTTAAATCGTGATCAAATTTTCAAGAAACAAACGTTCGTATTGAATTTGGACTACTACTGACCAACGCTAACAGACTACCTATTGTTTAAAAGGCCCTCTGGTGGCGCAAGAAGACGGATTTTATAAAATAAAAAGCAGTTGAAACTGCATTTTTATGAATAAAAATTTGACAAACTATTTATCGTTTTATGACGAGTAAAATTTTTTCGTCGCGTTCGCGGCTTTTAAGTAATGCATAAACCTTCGAGGCGCGAGGCCCTTCGGACCGCGAGGCATAGGCGGTGGCCCACGTCGTCCATGCCTTACGCCGCCCTTGGTCATAGAAATGATGTAATTTGAATATAAATTATTTATAAATACGTATGTCAAGTTATATTTTTATTACTACGTAAAATATATTTAAGGGTTTACGACCACTGTGCTGGGTGAGACGTTGTTGAAACAAAAAAAGTTATGCATTCCATCATGTACATAAACAGTGTTGTAATTCGCCAAGTGCAAATTAGCAAATTCGTAAAATTTTTGTTTATTTTGAACAATCCGGATAACCGGATAATCGAAAATCCGGATAATGGAGGTCCGGATAATGGAGGTTCTACTGTATAATCATGTGATAATATGGTTGATAAGCCACTAGAAAAGCAGTAATTTGTTAGTCACAGATTATCATATGATTAGTTTAACCACTATTAATACAAAAATTAATAGTGGTTTGTGACTAACAAACTACTATTGACATGATTCATAAACTAGATTTTTTGATTATTATAAGTGTTGCTGTGTTTTGAAAACTTTTAGTGGTTTGTTAATCAAAAAATATAGTTTATAAAAAGATATATCATTTCCACATCTTCTAACTACAAATGAGATTTTATATAGGTTTTATAGATTAATGTAGCAGTTGATTTAGTTGATTATAAGTTTAAATATGGTGAACACTTTTAACATTTACTATATTCATTCACAAATATTGACAAATTAGTAAAGCCAAATGATTACTGGATTAGATAAGAATGTAATACTGCTACTATTAATAATATAGCTTGATGTAATCTGGTAGTTGCTTGGCTTTAATATAGCTGTTGGACTTACAGATGTTTATATTTGTATAGACAAATTAGTATTGAGAAAACTGAAATTTAGATTCAATATTAATATAAAGGAAATTTTCTTTCATGTCTTAGTGGGTTATACTCGGTTGATACCGGTGGCTGTGTACTATGCCGGACCAGAGTCAAGGCATAGCAACCAAAACAAAAATTAAATAAGTGTGTCAGTGTCTGTATTCAGGAATTTCCTAACAATGTGGAATGTATTCAATATAGTGGCCTTCTGTAGTGTGATGTATGTATTTCTACTCAATTGTAATGTTCCCAGGCTTTTGTGTAGTGTGTGTGGTATCACACCTGTACAGGAGAGAACAACAGATACAATAAGCACCCTATCCATCCTCCATAGATGCTTTATTTCCTGGGCGAGTTCTGTGTACTTGCTAATTTTTTCAGTGCATGTGTTTTGTACATTGTGAGTGTTTGGAATGGCTAT